TACTTATGAAACATTTTGGTCGTGGGTTAAAAATAATTATCGGCATTTAATAAACTTAGCTGGGAAATTTATGAATCTCCCAGAATCAACAGTAGATACAATTGAAAAGAAATGTGCTAATTTTGTTTAATGTCGATAATTATTTACAAAATAGACTTAGGGGGAGAAAGGCTCATAAAACTTTTTATCATCGTACACTTAAAATTGAGTAAAAATCTTTCAATACAAGTGAAGAATATTAAATATAATTAATATTGAYTCTTAACATTATATTAACTGTAAAAAATAAAAATCTAAAAGCATAATAAAAAATACTTGTTGGCATGTGCAAAGTAAATGAGCTACCGACCAGCTTTATCAATTCCACTATACATAAACCTACATAAGAGAACATTTTTATTGTTATTTTCAACTTTTTTATAAGTACTTTTATTGGTTATTAGTGGTCATACTTACTATGGAATATTATTCAATAATAAAAATATGTAGAATATAGGCACTTATATAATGATATCATCTTAAGTTTAGACTCTATAATAAGTAATAATTAAAACAAATTTGATTTTATACGGTATAAATAAACTTATAAAAATACGGTATAAAAAAAATAATATTTTGCATATCAAAGCATATTTCAAACATTAAAGAATATCCAGTCAATATTTTATATTTAAGGATAATACTATATTGTATTATTGGTAAAAATTTCATATTTTCTCATTTCTCAAGATGAAAATATTTTGTCACACGGAAAAAATTATTTTTAATTTAAAAATGGAAAATGATAGAAATTGTTAAATTACATATAATGCTTGTAATAGAATTATAAATTGCTTAAATTATTTGATTGTTTCAAATGTGCTTATGAATAAACTTAAATAATTTATGAAAGAAAAAAGGTTTAGGTATGTAAACATAAGTTTCTTCAAGTCTAAGCATATTATTATATGATGTGCAATTAAAAGAGCACACAACACAAAAAATAAGTTTTTTTTTATTTGAAAGAATGTTCAATTATAAGGATAATGGTATAATTTTTACGTTTCTACTCACATTATTCAAAGTTATGAGCAATTGAAAAAAGACACGTGACGTCATTGGGCCCTACTTTTCGTAATCGCCTATCTTATAAGTGTAAAAGTTCCTCGATTCTCACAACGATTTACCCACCTAAACATTTTATTTTTGAAATTTAATTTACGTATAAATGTGTGGTTTTGTGTGTTTAAGACGACGCAAGAATCAGAATTTCTATATGCCGTTTAGTTTTTTAAATATTTAAAATCTTAAAAGATACATTTTTGAATTTTTACTTCGTATTTAAATCGCCACGGAGCGCCGTTTAACAAAAATATCACTTTTAAGATTTTAAATATTTAAAAAACTAAACGGCATACCTATAGAAATTCTGATTCTTGCGTCGTCTTATACACACAAAACCACACATTTATACGTAAATTAACTTTCAAAAATAAAATGTTTAGGTGGGTAAATCCACTTATAAAGAACGCCAAAAGAGGCAAGTAATATATTTAGATTCGAAAAACGTAAATTCATGAAATATATACTGTGGGAAGCMGAGACCAACCACAAAAAACTCGTGAACTGTATCAGAAGATTAATTCAATTAGGGGTGGGTACAAAAAACATGAAAGATTCTAAAAAATGAGGATGGCTCTATAATTACGGAACAATGCAAGATTCTAGAAAAATGGAAAGAGTATTTTGACCAACTGCTTAACTGCGAGATTGCTCCTGAAACTTTCACATGGATATCATCAGACCCTAACGACATTGAATGCCCACCTCCTAGTAAGATGAAATAGTAAATAAATTAAATAGACTAAAAAACACTAAAACACTGGGAGAAGATGGAATCCAGGAAGCAATTCTAAAAAATCTGGATGAGATAGCTATAAATAGAATACATGATATCATAGAAAATGTATGGTCTTAGGAACAACTCCCGAAATACTGGCGTACAGATTTAATTTCTCCGATTTATAAAAAAGGAGACCCGCAAAAATGCGGTAACTACAGAGGTATTGCTTTATTAGATACGGCATATAAAGTCTTAACAGAATGTCTACTAGATAGTACCCAAAGCCGAAAATATAATAGGTGACTATCAGGGTGGGTTTAGGACCAATAGATCCACAATTGACCAAATGTTCAGACAAATTATCAAAAACGCTTGGAATTAGACAAGGATGTGCAGTGTTATTTGTGGATTTCCGAAAATCTTATGACTCTATACATATAGAAAAAGTCTTTTAAACATTCTCAAAGATTTAAAATTCCCCAGGAAAATTATTAATCTCATTGGAGCCAGTCTCAATCATACTGATATAGGTCAAGATAGGTAACGTAACATCTCAGCCAACTAGAGTAACGACAGGACTTCGGCAAGGGGATGATCTGTCTCCAGTGCTGTTTAATTTAGTACTGTAGAGGGTAATACGTGAGATGAACATTTCGGACGGAGTTATATTAGGACAGAATCACAATTGGAATGCTAGCATATGCGGATGATATCGCTCTCCTGGGTGAATGATAAAGAGATTAAGAAATGATCTAATAAATACGGCATAAAAAGAGGGCCTAACCGTTTATGAGGAAAAAACGGAGTACCTTGAGGCTAGCCAAAGAAATAGAAATGGCGGTCTTGAACAATATATCAAAATATTCGGTCTGCTAGACGTGATAAAAAAAAAAAAAAAACAGCAGGTTAAGCGGCATAAAGAATGCTGGGCGCACTCGCTGAGGTACAGGACTGCCAATCCAGATATAATCCACGGGTTTCGGAGGTTGACGCTCAACGACGCTGGAGTGGTCGACCTGTTCGAGACGACTTTTATGTACTAGCAGATCGTGGCACTCAGTTGGTGCTGTCCACCTTGATGTCCAACGACTCCCTAGTTGTGTTGGACGTCAGGAAAAATGTCACTATATCGTTCTGCCATGTTGAAAGCGATTATGACTAAGTTTTACGAGAAAAACATCAACAAAACCGAGATCAAACAGTGGGAATGGACCAAGCTCATCGGGTGGGAAAACGAATTAGAATCGCCACACACAAAAAGATTCTTAAAACAAAACTATGACGTATGAACATATCGACGTATAAGGTCAACATAATATGATTACTCAATGCTATTAATTTTAAAGTTAATAGGATTTGTAACAAAAAAAAAAAAAAAAAAATGTACTAGATAGTTATTGCTGTTGGCGTAAACATAATATTATGCATAACCAACGGTGAAGCTATTCATATGGGAAATATTCCGGTGCACTATATTTTAAAATCAAATATATTATTTATTATTATTATT